TATATATATATATATATATATATATATATATATATATATATATTTGAACCGCGGGGAGACATAAAAATAGTGAGTGTAAAAACAGAAAGCGAGGAGGGAGGTCGTGAAATTGATTTATAAGAGTACAACTTTTCCGCAGCTCAATAAGTTCTCAATAAGTTGTCGAGGATCACTCACACGATTCGATAGTCTCGCAGATTTTTGAACACGGAAGTATGCAGAACGCAACGTCGCATATCGATCGCGAGTGATTCAAGGGATTAGGTTGTGACGTGTGGGGTTTTATCGATAAGTACTCGATATTTTGTATTTATCTGTATCGTCTCATCGCATCGTTCTATTATCGCTCTTTGACCAGTAGATCTCCCTTATAGAAAAGTTCCACTGGCTGTGATAAATTGGACAGTAATAAAATTATTGAACGACAGTAATTATTACTGGCCAAATTATCATTTATCAGTATTAAATTTCTATAAGGGCTGTAGATTTTGCAGATAGATGATAGACGATTTTGAGATCAAGCGCGAAGTTGCATCCAATCGCGGATTGAATTTGGTGCGCCAACTCAGACAGCACAGAGAATTCAAAAAGAATTTAATTGTATGTCACCAATTCTGAGTTCATTTTTAAATGTAAAAAGAATTCACCGAACTGAACTCTGAAGAATTCTTTTTGCACCTGAAAATGAACTCAGAATTGGTGACACACGACTGAATTCTTTTTAAATTCTTTTTGAATTCTCTGTGCTATTTAGGAAATCTATAATCTCAGAAAACTAGCGTGACACTGTATGTACACCTCAAATAGCCCATCAGACATAATTACCATTGTCGAAAAGTGAACGCCAAGCGTACGTTATTTATTTATTTTGCAGTTTCTTTAGGCACGATTTTAATTCAGTCGTAGTCTCAGTTACAGTAATTTATTTGCGCACATTTCGTTTAAATTTGAAAAAATGATATCGTTAACATTGCCGTTTTTTAATTTTAATGCTTTCAGAATTTCCAATTACGATGCTTGATCTATTTAAAGTTGCATTGATACGCCATATTTTTTTACATTTCTTCCTGAACTTAAAACAGCTGTTAAATAATATTCGTGACTGTCGTAGCGTATTAATGTCGATTTGTTTCGTTTGTACATGTACAATTTGTTTGTACATTAATAGCGTTTCACCTAGATTTACTTACGTAAATACACGTCGAGTTACTGTTTAACGAGTAAACTACTTATTATAACGAGTACAGATTCTAATAGTATGGCTTTAAAACACGACTACATGAAGCTCGCTGGCGTTTCGCGCGTTACATGCATATGCTAAGTGATAGTGATTCGCTGCACGCATGCTGGAAGTAAAATTATACACATGGAAAGAAAGATTTGGTTGAATTAATCAGAATTTAGGATACATCAATCAGATTGTTTGGTGATATATGAAAGTATCGTATTTTTGGTTAAGATAAATTTAGTTAATGTAACCAAACTAAAGAAAATTGTATTCACGTGTCTTACTAGAAATTATTTTTAACTAAAATTTGTTTTTTAAGGCATTAATATGTAATTATTTTGCTTAAAATTTAATTGATTTGATGTTATATTGTATTTGAAGAACTCGCCTTTTATCCTTTTTATTATGGAGATTCGAAACCAAGGACTTCTGGATTGTGAATTGTCTATCTTCGTGCTACGTTACTTCATCAATCGATAGATTTATTATACGGTGTGTCCCATAAGTTCGGCAACGGCAAGAAAACTCGGCGGGGGAGCATTTTAGAGAAAAATGTTTCGGATAAAAGTTGTAAGGCTTAAAAAGTCGCATTTAATGACAGTAGTTATTTGACTTAAGATGACGTCGTCAAGGTCAGGACAAGGTCAACTTTGCTTTTTTAAATAGAAATACATATTTTTTATTACGGCATTTTATTTTACGTGAAAAAGCAAACAACTTTTGTTTGAAAAAATTTTTTATACGACCTCTATTTTCTATGATATTTACGTAAATATCT